CGCTGCCCCAGAGCTCCGGGGTGGCACGCCCGCTCCGTCACTTAGCGGCACGACATGGGGACAGCAGTGCCCTCTCCGGGGCTCCGTGCTGTCATCCCGAACAGGGAACAGCAGGTTCCTCCGTGCCTCTCTCACGGCGGCGTCGCGGGAAGTAGAGTAGAGGGGGACGGGGCCACGTGCCCCGAGCAGCGGCGCGTCACCGTTCCCGTGGAGCGGGTACGTCAGGCTCACCTCCGTTTCTTTAGTTTCCGCCGTCTTTTCATTAGCATCTGATATATCATCACATTTCTGTTTACGAATCCACAAAGAATCTTGACGTTTACTTCTACGACCGACACGCGTCTGACGCCACGTCGGACGGCCGTCTTTCCGCGCTTGGACGCGCTGGCCACACCCTCAGGCCTCGTCTTCTACGACCTGTTCAGTCGAATCGTTTCTGCTTTGAAGTAGTGCCCTTCCTTCCGCTCGTTCTTGTGTGGCTTTTTAATAAGTTGCTTGGCCGTGGCTTATTTTAACAGCGGGAAAGCAGTAGTAGCAGAATCAGGACTAGACCTTGAAGGAACCACAAGCTGTGTCCTGGGGGTGCGCTTCAGGGACGAGGTGCAAAACGCCAGGGCTCGTATTTCTAAAGATGCAACCGCCCGGGCCCTCAGCACGTCAGACCCCAGTCACGCGGGCGCGGAGGGCACGCAGCCCGCAGGCTGCGCTGGGCATCGTGTGAGAAATCCCTCTGGTTTTCTCATTGTGACCGTCGAGGATCAGTCTGGGATTTTATAAGTTGTTTCTAACAGTCTGACTTGAAGGAGATGGAATTCAGACCCACAACAGGTCGTGCAGTTCACATAGGAGTCGAAAGGACACAGGTAACAGCAGTCGAAATGAGGTCTGCAGTCGGTGCTTCAAACGTCAAAAGGGCACGTGGGCTTGGCTACCGAAACGCCCCTGCTTCCCGGCCTCAGCCCCCCCGCCGGAAGTGGCTGGACCAGATCGTCCCCGCCCCCCACCCCCGGGAAACTCTTGAGTCCGCCCAGGCTGGCCTGCAGCAGGCGACTCTGTCGGGTCAGTTCCCCAACGTCCGTCCTGCAGCTTCTAGATGGACCTCTCTGAATAGCTCTGCTCTCCTGTTTAGAGCGCGAACCTGAACTTTGAAATAACTTCCTGATAAATGTCTTTTCTCATCACAAGTCCGTCCTCCCCACTGGGGAGCACACAGGTGGCCCCTCGGCTTTCCGTGGCTGGAACACGGGCTCTGTGGACCGTTGGCTCCGTGCTGCTAATCGCTGAGTGACAAAGCCCCGCCCCGTCGCCCCGGCGTTGCGTTCCGTCGTCAGCCTCAGCAGAGGCACGACAGTGAGGGGGTTGGCCTGAGGCGGAGAAGCGGAGCTGAGGGCCCCGCTTCAAACAGCTGAGTCCCGTTCCGTCGTCAGCTCAGCAGAGGCACGACGGCGAGGGGGTGGCGGGAGAACCGGGGATGCGGAGCTGAGGGCCCGCTCTGCTCCAAACAGCCGAGCCCCAGGAGGCCGATGCCTGCAGCCGTCAGACTCCGTGGCTGACAGGTGGCCCACCCTTCCCCTCCGTGGGTCCACGTAGTTCAGAGGTGACCTGATTTCACGTGAAATACCAGTGACTTGAGAAATCCATCGACCTACAGGGACCTCCGGCCACTCGTGCCGTGTCAGCAGCCATTCCCACGCTCGCCGCTGCGGGGCACAGCCCGAGCTGACCCTTGCGGCTTGGGAGCCGGTGCTCAGACTCTAGCCGGAGAGGCAGCCTCGCAGCTGTCTGTGTGGCCGGGGGAACCCAGTTTCTTTGCCCGCCCCTGCTCCGTCCCCGCGGCAGGCTGGTCCCCTGGCATCCGCTCTGCAGGGCGACGGCTGAGTGACAAGGCACCAGCGCGGTGCAGAGCACTGCCGCCGGCTGGGTCTCTGTGCGGCACGTCCGCGTGGCCCCCGTGACAGCCCCCGTGAGGGCCCGGCCTCACGCGCTGGCATCGCACGGCTAGGGACCCTCGGAGGAGGGCCCGGACCAGGCCCTGCCTCTTCCACTTCGTTCTGCCGCGACTCCAGATGTGCGCACGAGACCCGCCCGCTGGCCGCCGCCGGGACGCACAGGACCCTCTGCCCTCGGACCCTCGGCCCTCCTGGTGTTCCAGTGGCGAGGGCCCCTCCGCTCAGCTTGTCCGCGGTCCCTCGTCAGTGCGGCCGTGAGGCCGCGTGAAGGAGCGTGTCCACGTTGGGGGTCTCGGTCTCCCTGGGGATGGCAGCGTGTGACAGGGTAAAGGGGTGTCTGGTCCTCTGCCCGGGGAGGAGTGCGGGGGACGCGGGCGCACAACAGACACCGGCTCCCCTGTGGGACGGACGCACCGAAGCTCTCCTGAGGTGCAGGCCTGAGAACCGACCGAACCCCTTTCCCACGGAGCTCGGCGGGAAGGTGAGGTCCCGCGGTGTGGCTCAGTCGCGTTCCGAGTGCAGCCGTCACTGTGCTCTCAGGAAGAGCCAGGAGGTGACACGGGCCTTCTCGGTCCCGTTCTGCTCTTTCCACCGATGTCCTTCGCCCCCAGCTGTCCGGGATGGTGCGATGCGGCTCACGAGAGCACGTTCGGAGAAAACCGTGAAAATGGTAACTGACCTGCTGTCTCCTCGGACTCGCCTTTTAGAATGCTTCGGGGCGTCGCGTCAGCCCCCGTGTTCCTCGCCGTCACTGGGCCTTTCGTCTCGTGGTTGGTGCTTCGTAGGGACCGCGGTGCTAGCCACAAAATCAGCAGCGTTGTGCCGAGGTCACACAGCCCGGGGACGGTAAAATCCAAGTGCATAACTTGAGAGGAGAATATAGTTTCTATATCTTCAAAAATTTGTTAGGACAGGATTACCCCAAATTCTTAAAAGCTTGAGCCCTGGGTCAGGCGTGTGGTGCACATGTTAGGACTCTGGGCCAGGTGTGCGGTGTGCGTGTTAGGCGCTCTGGGCCAGGTGTGCAGTGTGCGTGTTAAGCTCTCTGGGCCAGGTGTGCGGTGTGCGTGTTAGGCGCTCTGGGCCAGGTGTGCGGTGTGCGCGTTAGGCGCTCTGGGCCAGGTGTGCGTGTTAGGCGCTCTGGGCCAGGTGTGCGATGTGCGTGTTAGGCGCTCTGGGCCAGGTGTGCGGTGTGCGCGTTAGGCGCTCTGGGCCAGGTGTGCGTGTTAGGCGCTCTGGGCCAGGTGTGCGATGTGCGTGTTAGGCGCTCTGGGCCAGGTGTGCGGTGTGCGTGTTAGGTGGGCTTGTCCGTGGCCTGCCTGGCGGCGTTCAGTGGTGGGGTTCCCTTTCTCTTGCTGCTCTTTGGGACTGCGCGTGTCCTTATGCTAAGGAACACGGTTTATAGGGATTATTCAGAAGAGGCACCATCCTTGTTTCAGACGATTATTGATGCCCTATGACTAACACATGGCAAGTTTGATTTGCTGATGTTTAGAAGGATTGTGAGATTTTGAAAATGTGTTGGTTCGGCGTATGGGCTGGAAGAATGTTGTTTCCTGTTCTTGATCTTGTGGAGGACCCATCTGTTCCACCAACGAAAGCCCTTTCTGGGGGGATAGCATCAAACCCATAAAAAAGCCCTGGGGACACCCTGAGCCAGCTCTCAGGAAGCGAGGCTCACTCCTTCGGCTCACTGATGAATTCTCAGAATTCCTCTGACACTTCTTTAAATCATAGAAACAAAGAGCAGATGTGACAGTGGCATGCAGTTAACCGAAGCCGTTGGGGCGGGGGCACGAACAGGAGTCCCCGTGTGATTGTCCGCAGTAGCAGTTAGGAGCGTGGCGGAGAGAGACGCGCCTCCCAGGTGTTCCCTTATGTTCAACAGGGTGCGGTTTAGACGAGACGGGGGGCTTCATGCAATTTTGAACACGTTTAAACAAATTTCCTAAATGCTTTTTTGAGGCTGGAGATGACGGTTATTCATGCGTTATTTCTCCCAGCTCACCGAAACTGTCCTGAGGCGGTGAGGTGGGTGGATGTCACAGCTCCACGCGTCCAGCTAAGTGCTGTGCTGCGTGTGGCACAGGGGCACCCGCTCATCTCCGTCCTGTTTTTTCCTAGGCCTTTGGTCACTACGAACTTTTCGTGTCCCACTTTGTCAGACCGGCTGAGATTCTTACGTACGGATCACGGTGGCTCAGACTTCATTGCTGAGCGTTCACTGGCATCCCTGTGCTCCGCTGTGCATCCCAATAAATTATCTCTACGGTACCACAGTCAGAATAGCTCTGAGCTCAGCCCAGACGTGAGCTTCTGATCCTGCGTGCGCCACGTGGACGGCTTCTCTGCACGGTTCCCTGCGAACCTGCGGCTTCTTCCGTGTGTCCCGCTGTGAGCGCAAACCATTTAACTCCCATTGCTGCGCACGTCTGCTCGCGAGTCGAAACCAGTGAAGTTCACGAACTCCTACGCAGTCCAGCAGTGATGGGTGTAACTGCTACGCACCTGCTTGGGCTATAAATGTTAAAGCCAATAAAGAAAATCAATCATTTTTTAAATTCAGAAGTAACGAACAATTCGTATTTTAAAGTTATGTTTACTATATGTGCTGGTTTATCTTAAGATTAAATGAGGAAATTAGTAGTTCATAGCAGGCGTTTTTAACGGCCACCTGGGTTTTCAGCACAATCCGCTTCCTCTGTGTCAGCGGAGCCGCACGCGGGCCTCAGTCCTGTCGTGCGGGGAGCAGGGTGTGACTTGCCGTTGACTTGCTGTCCATGCTGTTGCAACTAAACTTCAAGCTCTAGCCATTTTTTTCTTTTCTTTTCTTTTTTGTCCCTTTTTTTTATTTTCTTTGCAGAAGATCATCAAATGAATTGTCACAATAGTCGAATAATGCAAGACGCGGAAAAGGATGACAACAATAACGACGAGTACGATATACGACGAGC